CTTCAGGGACTGCATGCACCACTACACACCACACACACAGACATGTATAGTCCAAAATCTCATGCACCACACATCCCTCTGTGCCATATATACATTTCTCCCTTGCACATGAACACACTTCTTGCTCCTCTCTCTTTCCATTATTCCGAATAAATACACCCTCCATTGAAGCCAATAGGTTCTTCTGTTGGGAAGACTAAAAACAAAATCCTCTCTTGTTACTTCCCAGCCAGCAGAATCATTCTGAGAGGGATGATTCACCCTAAATTCACCCTTAGCTGTTCCAGTTTTAAATTAGACATTTCCATCTTTCCTGACACAAGTGTTGGCATACATAAAATCTATGACACCTCATGCATAATCTGATGATGATAATGAAGTTAAGGTCTGCTATCTGCTGAACTTCTATTGGCAGACTGAAGCTATGGGAGGCACACCCCTTCCCTCCAGTCACTCAGTACCGCCTTTCATGACCATTTTGGCTCAGGCTGAAGGAAAAACTGGACACTTTGTTTCTGTTGATGCATCAGCCCATGTTACACTTGACTGCGCTTCACAAGGTATAGTTCCAGCAATACCAAGGCTCCTTACATACATTGGCGTATACACTGGTATTCTAGTCTTCTGGAACATCACGAGGCCTATTATTAAGAATGTGTTCACTGGTCTATCAAAAGACAAGCAGACTTGTCTGTTACAAAAAAAGAAAAAGAAAAAGTGTATGTGTGGGGTGGTGGTGGTGGTAGCGGTCATGGTGGGGCGCTGCCAGTCAGTTTAAAGTGGGAAAGAGATGTATTTCATTTATTGCTGGTTCTTAACCCAAATTAATGAACTAAAGATTTTATGCTGCTTCTACTGCAAAGATTTTTGCATGGCTGCTCCTTCTTCTGTTTTTATTACTTTGAGAGGGAAGCAGTACCATTTTGTCCACTCTAACGCCATTTTGCATACTCCATGGGATACCTGCAGGTGCTGCTATCTGCAAATACTCATTATCCACCCTTACTGGTTTGGGATATTTGGAAGTTGGAAACATTGAGAAATCTCCTCTTCTAGCCCAAGCAACAGGAAGACCAGAAAACCTACCAAACCTGGTAGCAATCCTGGTAAATCTCTATGCAAAAATAGCCCAGGATAGGTGAATAGAGTAAGAAGATGGCTTGGGATGAAGCTGGAAGGAGGTCACTCAATGCATCTTGAGAGCTCTCTCGTGTTTTCTCTTGTACTATTCCTCTGTCCACTGATCTGTCAGCTGGGCTTCTTGGGACAGAGATCGACTGGTCTTCTAGAAGAGGAGTAGACCCATGTTCAGAAATAGCTCAAGTGACAGGTCACCAGCACAGAGCATTTGGTGATCTATCACTCAGGCAGTTTGATGAGTGGCTAAAGCCTCCGCCCTCGGCACCTGCCCACACTTACCCAAGCCTGCCCATCACACTTTAAGGAAACAAATCGGTAGTTATTTTTCCTGCCAGCTGGTGACACTGGGTGGGAAGGGAAATAAACTCAGGAAAGTCTACAAGCACTGCCCTTAAATTGTCATGCAGTAAAGTTGTTAGGGCAGGGCAGATTACAACTTGGCCATTAGGGCACTACGAATTTTGTGAGCATATTTTTTGGTTGACTCAAGGACTGGAAGAATGCACATGAACATGACTGAGAGAAAGGGCCCTAAAATTCAGCTTTGGTCTGTGGGACATATTAAAAGAGAACTTGAAGCAGCAGAATATCCTGGACTGGTTTGGTTGCCTGTAGCCAAAATAGAATACCTTCCTAGATGTGATGACTGACTTCCCATGGATAGCTTATCATTTCTATTATTAAAATTATTATAAAGGAAGCATGAAAGTGCAAGATTGAGGAAACAAAAAAGAATATGCCTCATTATGTAGTGTGGCTGTTGCTTTGTAGAGAAACTGTAAAAGGTTTAACCAGTAGATGGAGCTATCTATTCTCATCCCTCACAATATGAAAATATTTAACCAAAGTATTGAGATAATCAATTTCTGACAAGCAAAGGCTTTAAATTAACTTATTGTTTTAACTCAAGGTTTTGAGAAATAAATATTGTACTACCACATTAACAACATGGGATCAATCTCTTTGAGCAGCACAAGATATTATAATCTGGGTTTAGTCTGTCTTCCTTCCTTCCTTCCTTCCTTCCTTCCTTCCTTCCTTCCTTCCTTCCTTCCTTCCTTCCTTCCTTCCTTCCTTCCTTCCTTCTTTGATGAAGCTATCAGAAAAACATGGCCATGATATTTCCCAGAATGTAAAGAAAAGAAAATCACTGACAATTTGCTTACTCTTTCTCACTTCCAGCTAAACCTTTCAGCACCTAAATTGTCCTCTTTTGAAGGTGGGGGGTAGGAGGGTGAGGAATGGTGATTTCTTATACATTTTATACACTGAGATGCAGAAATTTAGCTATGAAGTTTTTCTTATATCATACAAAGAAAACTTCACCTACTTAAAAGGCAGCTTTTAAAGACAGGAAGGCTGGAAAACAATAACAGGTTTTCATTGTCCTTTTCAGTAAACATTGTCAGTGTGCATGTCATTTCCCCCCCAATGACTTCCACATGGAGATGCTCACCATGGACTTTTCCTTGCATTCAAGGGAGCATGGTTAGAAACTGACTGGAAATGTTGAATGCAACATGAAGAGATTGAAAATGCTCAGGGCAAAACTAGTATGTGGAGCCCACCCCTTTAATTGTGTATCCCACCCTTGTAATTGAGTCCCTGTTCAAAACTGAACAAGCTCAGGAGTCCACAAGAAGGATTGCAGTGTGCAACTTCCAGCCATATGTTATTCCACTCTTTTCGCAACATCCAGCCAGTGTTCTGCCCTTATTGAGTCTTTATTTGGCTGTTAGTTATATTTTTTTTAAATCCCTATTTTTTTCATAAAGGTTTTAATTTTTTTTCTCAAAATGTTGGTATTTTCCTGAGCCACCAGCTACTTCCTTCTTGTATAATGAAGTTGATTTTGCTATATAAAGATCAACCCTTGGTGAATTTACTATTTGTATATGCTGTACAGACATTAGTTCTGAAATATAATGCTTAGCTTATTGTTCTAATCAATTAAAATGTATGTAACTTTGCAACATTATGTATTCATTTATTATTGTCTTAAAGGAAACAAAAAGGCAATTTCCAGCTATCTTTCTCAGTTTTCAATTCCTGAAAGGCTTTTTCTTCACACCATGTTATTCAGAGTGAGGTCAGATGGCAGCCCAAGGCTACTACAGACCTGCGAAGTACCAGGATCTTCTGTTTTATGTTGGAAAAAATGCCAGTAACTTCAATCAGGATATGGAAAAATCTGATGCTGCAGATTATAGCCCTACATGTATACAATAAGGCTGATCTCAAGAAAGGTAAGCAGTCAGATCTGGTTAGTACTTAGGTGGGAGATTATCAGGAAATTGTCACTGCATTAACACCATTCACTATTCTTCCTCCTACCTTTCTATCCTTGCAAACAATCCTTGCTTCCGCCACATCCAGTGTTTCTCAACCGTGGCATTTTGAAGATGTATGGACTTCAACATGCTGGCTGGGGAATTCTGGGAATTGAAGCCCATACATCTTCAAACTGCCAAGGTTGAGAAACACTGCAATAATTACTTCATGCATTTCCTTTTGTTCTTTAAATTTCTCACCTTGCTTTTTTGAAGGAACTCATTAATTCCATCCAACCACTATTTTCTGTCTTCCTCTTCCTTTCAACACATTTGTTCTTCCATCATATATTTGTTTGCTATTCAAACCTTATTCACTCACTCTGCATGATCAAACCACTCAAGGTACTTCTTTTATACTAATCACTCACTTTTGCATTCAATCCACATTCATTCAGCATCCATAATCCATGCTTGACCCTATCTCTCCTTGTTTTGCCAGACTCGCTTTCTAAGTACTCCAGCACACTTCCTACATTTCTTTTTATGTAGGGAAGAATAACAACATTCTTCCAGTTATCAGCTGCAGATGCAGTCTTCACACACAAATTAAGCAAGATGCACAGCTATTCCACAAGCAAACCACTTGCATATTTTTAACATTTCTCAAGTTATGCACACTATACCTGCAAGCCTTATCATTTTTCAACATTCTGACATCATTTATGATTTTCTTTCCATTCATTTTTCTTGAAAATTAACATTTACAGTATAGCATTTATTTCAGTTGCATTGTTTGACATCTCTCTCATTCCCATATAAACCTCTACAATATTCCTTCCAGCCCCTCCATGCCAGTCTCATCTCAAAACATTTATTTACTTTTATTTTTAATTCTATTCTGCCAGAGGGTCCTAGTTCAGACTTTTCTCCCACTTTGAAAATAATGTTTTATTTCCATTAAAATTGCTCTGCAATTTCTCTGGTTCTTTTAATCATAATTGTTATTTACTATTTTTCTCTGCATAAACATTGTGCAACATCTTTCTATCATTCTCATTTTCTGTATCGTTATATTATTTATCACTTCATTTATTAATACTTGCTCTTTATCATTTATTTCTTTTACCTTCCAAATTTTACTCTTCCATACACCACAATCATCACCAGATGGACCAATAGATATTTACTTCTACTACCCATCATGGCTCTGGTCAGTTGAGACTTTCGCATAAAGATTTTTAATAAGATAGAGTAGATTACCAGCACAACTATGCCACATGCAGCATTCCCTGTTAATGGTAAGGCAAGTAATGCCAAATTTGCCATATTTTGGGTAGTATGTCATAAACATGACCAAAACCCAAGTTTAACCCCCAACATGCTGATACTATTTTATGCAAACTAAGGACTAGAGATTATCTTGCAAGCCAGGACACTGTTACTGCATCCCAACAACTAGGAGGTACATGCAGAATATGGGCACACACTGAGATACAAGCAATAGGCCTGCAGATCTGCCATTCTTTCTCCAGTGAGAAACGATGGCCAATGTTTGGGCTTGAAAAGTCATGGAGGGGACCCACTTACCTCAGGACATGCATTCCAGCCCCTCATTAACAAAGAGGAGATAGGCTTGGGAATTGAATAGCCGATTGGAGGTCTGATGTGATGATAAGCCATATCAGCTGCTGCAGCGGCTGTAAATAAGAACATGACAAGGCTGAATTATTGATCACCCCCAAAAGCAGACTGAGAATGTGAAGCCAACATTTAAAGGTTACAGAACTGAAATTATGTTAGCCTTCCAAAGGCTTAACATCTTGTCTCTGTTTTGTGCAGAAAAACAGAAAATTGTTCCATTTTAAAGTAACCTTATTTCAGACTCCATGCCTCAGAGAAGAAAATCCTCCAGGCTGGCCAATCCAGTGAATGTGTCATCAAATCTCTCTCTATCATTCTTGCTGCCATAAAGTTTTCCCCATTGGGGAAAGCTCGTGGCTACTTAATTGTTTAGTTCAGGGTCTACCTCTGTAACTAGAGAAAGGAGAATTTGGATGTAATAGGGAATGGTCTGTTTCCCTTTCATTAGGGATGTTCCTTCTTTTTAACATTCCTTAATATTTCAGAATGAAAGTCTTTTCTAAGGATAGGATCACAGATCAGATTAATTAGGAGGTGATAGAATGAGATGGTGACTTACTCCCTTGAAATCATTGGAGGTGGATCCCTAACAATTTTAGTATTGGACCACCAGCTGATAAAATGAGGCATTTAGAGGAGGAAGTCACTCTATTTTCCATCAGTTCATAGGGCTTTGAATATAAATGTTGTAACACTATTAAAATTGTAATATGACGACTGCCATAGGAAGAATAAATAATACAGTTAGATGCTATATGACTTGCACTTATATGGATCAACTTGTTTATGTTCAGAATAAACTTTTGTATGTGTGGTACTCAAAGGATAAGGACGCGTAAAGTGTTGTCCATGCAGGCCATATTCTCAAAACTTTCCTGTGGTGGTTTTTAAAGACATGACTGATGAAAGATGTCTTGTTGTAAATAACTGAAGTAAAGTTTTGCATATGTCCTGTAATGTAATCAGTACAATTGTTAAGTTTTACCATATTTTTTTTATCAACAGTTTTTACTGTTAAAATTAGGTAGGGTGTCATCATATCTTAAAAATAATAAAAAAATGGGAGAGGTGTCACATATAGGAAATTCTACCTAATGTAGGATTTATATTCTAACTGAGAAATTGAAGGAGATCCCATTATACTATGTCTCTTTCTTTCACCATTCTTCTACAGTATTATAAATGCACCTCTGTGGTAATATATCCCGTCTACTTGGTTTATGCTATATTTAATATGGGATAACTGCCTTCTGTCTCCGTGTTATGATAGAGGTATAGACTGTAGTTTAGTCTCTGGTAGTTTCTCAGTTAATCATAGTGAATTGCAGCAAGTCAGTTTTAACGGGTAAATTTGCAACTGTCTAGAAATAAATTTCACAGTTACCTTCTGGTATAGAATAAAGACACTGAAAATTAACTGATGTACAAATCTGAGCAGCAAGTTTGGCTCTGGAAATCAAACTCCACCTTCAACTTCAACTGGGATTTATTTTTATTAATCTTCATATGCCTGTTCATCTCATAAATACTCCAGTGGGTTTTCCTAAGCCACCACTGCAGACAATATAGCAAAACGAAACAAAGGTTTTGATTTTTGCATAGCCATAGCAGCATGCTTTATGCTTCTCTGGACTTAACTCAATATGACCTTTTATACCCACATAGTAAAAGGAAGCTACTATGCCAGCCCTAAATGGTTTATTCATTCAGATTTACACTAGCTATTAAGTGTAATTCATCTTCACAAAGAACTTTTGCTCCACAGCACAGGCTGTGCCTAATTGATAAACACCATCGCAGTAGTTTAATTGGTTGGCAGTTATGGCTTACGTAATGGGTTGTTACCTTTTTATTTCTATTATGCTTGTACTATAAAACCTAAACAATTTCTCAGCACATGCCAATTGATTCTTTTATTCTTTTTAAAGTGCTTCCCTTCCAACTTTCTATCTGATTCCCTGTATTATTTAAACATATTTTAAAATTCATCATGGTTTAATAGCCCAACCAATTGCCTTGATTTTCCAAAGAGAGTTAAAGACTAGGGTCAAAAAGTGTTCAGTAGGCAGCGTTCGTATTTTGTCTTCTCTCTCTTTCTTCCTAACAAAGAGGAAAACACAATTCTTCCTTGCTTCTAGAAATCTTTGTAAGGGACATGACATTTAGTCAGAAGAGAGTATGGAATAGTAAAGAATAAGAAGCTCACAAGCATTTAACAACTGGAATTATATCTCTTAGAAAGGGAGAATTCCAAAGAACAGAGCCAAATGAAAATAAAGAGCTGAAGGGAAAGTTACCTATTAATGGCCATATCAAATAAAATTCCTTCTCTGTCTTCTTGATTCTTACTTTGTACAGAGCTTGACTTAGTCAGTGGTCATTGTGACCTTGGGGACAGTAATGCATGTGTCTCAAAATATCCTGGGCTGGTTCAAAGACCTAAAGGTCTGCTTCCTTTTCTTAATCTGAATGCTTTGTTTCCTGTACTTCTCCATCTTATGTCTAGATTATTCCTAGGCAGTTATGAAATCTTTTGAAGCAATTGTTTCAATGCAGTGAATTGAGCTAACAGGACTGAATCAGACATTATTAATACTAGAGATTTACTCTGACCACAGATCCTTCATAATGACTGAAGTATGTTTTATAGATAAGATGGCATTGAGTGATCTCCCTTTCTTACTGATATATCTGAGAGTACATATCATATACCAATTTGGACAACACTATCCAGAATTCCATTCTACAAGAGAAACCCAAAATAACTTGATGGGGGAACAGAAAGCCTCACAGTTCCCTGATAAACATTAGCTGGGTTCACCTAACATGCATAACCAGGGCAGAGAAACACCCACCAAGTACATTTGCACAGAAGGATAATCTTGGCTAGTGTTAGCCTTGTTTAGGTTTTCTGTACCTTGATATATTGTGCTAACCTAGTCATCTTGGTTAGTCTATGGTTTAGCATATTGTGAACCCAGAAAATGAGTTAATTCAGGTTAAACATGTTGTGTGAAACCAGCCAATATGTTAGGAAATTTGTTAAATCACAATGGAGGAGAAAGGATTTTATCTTTATCTCCACTTTTGTTCATTCTAGCTCTTGAAGTATTGAATACAGATATAAGACAGGATGATAAAATTGCTGGAGTGAAGATTAAAAGACAAATATAAACTAAGGGCAATTCCTGATGATTTGGTGATTATTCTGGAAAACCCTTTGGAAGGAATAGAAATATTAATGCAAAAATTAAAGGATTTGGTGTGTTAGCTGGTTTTAAAATAAATAATCAAAAGACAAAGATGTTAACAAAAAATATGAAAATGGAAGACAAAATACAACTGATGGAAAAATGGTTTTAAGGTTGAAAAAAAAGTAAAATACTTGGGTATTATTATGACTAATATGAACTGTGTGTTATTTCAAAATAATTATGTTAAGGTATGGAATGAAATCAAGAAGGACATGTTAAGATGGAAAAAATTACAGCTGTCATTGTTGGGGAGAATGTATGTGCTAAAAATGAATGTATTACCTAGAATTATGTTTCTGTTTCAAACAGTACCTGTTTTGTCAACTGATGCAGCATTTAAACAATGGCAGAAATATATATCTAGGTTTATATGGCAAGGGAAGAATCCAAAAGTTAAATTTAAAATTCTTCAAGATGCAAAGGAATGAGGAGGATTGGGATTGCCTGATTTGAAATGGTACTTTGCAGCCTGCTGTTTGGTTTGGATGAAAGAATGGGTATTACTGAGAAATAAGAGAATTTTAGTGAGAGCATGACCTGAGGTTTGGATGGCATGGTTATTTATGGTAGAATAAAGTTAAGATTAATGTAGATTTTAAAAGTCATTATTTTAGAAGTGCCATATTGAGAAGATGGAATAGATGCAAACTCAGGCTGTGCCTAAAAAAGTCTTTGTGGGTTTCAGCACAAGAAGCATTTCATAGAAAAGAAACAGCAGGCAAAGAGAAATGGTTAACATATTGAGAGCTGTTAGAACAAGAACATGGAGAATATAAGATGAAACAAAAGATCAATTGAATGCAGAAGGATTAAGTTTTTAATGGTTTTCATATGTACAGTTAAAAGAAAGAGTTAAAATAAAGAGAAGGATATTTGGAATTGAACAACATAAGACAGAATTTGAAGCTGAATTATGTACAAATGATGAACATGTAGTTGCCAAAACATATAAACTCTTACTGAAATTTGAAGTGGAAGAACAAATTAAAGAGTATATGATAAAATGGGCTAAGAACTTTGGTTATAATATACAGATGGAACAATGGGAAAATATGTGGCTGAAAGGACTGAAATTCACATTATGTTACAACTTAAAAGAGAATGTTTATAAAATGATGTACTGTTGGTATGTAACACCAGAAAAACTATATAGAACGTATAAAGGTACTTCAAATCTATGTTGGAAATGTAGAAAACCTGAAGGGTCATTTTATTATGCTTGGTGGACTTGTGAAAAAGGTAGAAAATTTTGGGTTTAAGTACATACAATGATACAAAGCATTTTAAAAATTAATATTCAACTGAAACCAGAACTTTTCTTGATGGATAGACAGCTAAAAAAGACTTATAGAAGATTGTTTTTATACATGGTAACTGTAGTGACATTATTATATGTACAAAGATTGAAAGACTCTGAAATACCCAATACCCACAATGGAGGAATGGTTGGTGAAGATGACAGAAACTGACTTGTTTGATTAGGGCAAAGATGACAACTACATTTTTTAGTGATTGGAAACCCTTTATGGATTTTTTTTTCTGAAAACAGAAAAAAATGAACTTATGATTTATGGGTCTGATGATTAGAAAGGGTAAAGTATGGAAAGAAGGGTGCCATGATGTAACTTTAGAGAGAGGATAAAATATAAATGTGTTTATAATTGCTATAAAGAAGATCAGAAGCTACTTCTTTTTACTTTTCTTGTCTTCTTTCTTTTATTTCTTTCTTATTTACTAATTACTTTACTTTTACCTTCCTTTTCCTTTAAATTTGTATTGTTTTCATTCTGTTAAAATTCATTTAATAAAAATTAATAAAAAAAAAGAAACACGTGAACTTAGTTGCAAAGCTACTTCAATGGCCATCCATACTCTATATCAAAACCTCATTCCTCTATTTGAAGAGATTTAAGAAATTAATGCCAGCAAAGCCACCAATAAAAAAAAAAAAGTTTTGCTAAAAAGGAAAAGAGAGAAGGAAAAAAAAAGAATGGACTAAGGAAACAATAATAATTCCATAAATGTCAGAAGAAATGTGAATCTGGATTTAATAAGCTCTCAGGAGGAAGGGAAATAAAGGAATTTTCTTCAGATTTCACTGACAAAATATAAGAACATAGGGTCAATAAATATATAACTTTAAATGCATTGGAGGAATAATGACTCTGAAAAGATCAGCCATCTCCAATGGAGAAATGGGATGGAGAGCTGTTGTGCAAGACAAGTGAAGCTAATTAGTGAGAATCAATGGATACATGTTAGAACAGGAAGATTCAGGGGAATTCTTCAGACTGCAAGCTTCTTGGTGTTTAGAAGACCGTTGGCACTGTGAACGCATTTGGCTGTTAATAACAATAAGGAGAAACCTGAAAAAAAAAATCAGTAGGGAAAGGCAGCTGGGCAGAAGGAAAAGGAAGACACTGCTGTTCTCCTTAGAGATGCTCCTTTCTCTGCCCCATGCCTTCTTTGTTATACTTCTCTGCAGATCAGCTCCACAGAACCAATTTACAGCATAGACCTTCCTCAGCCACTACAGTAGGCTGATTTCCCCAGAAACCTCTTAGGTTCAGTAGGCAGTGGTAACAGCAACCAGTATTTGGATCCAAATGAAGTTAGTGAAATGTGCATGGTTTTCTTTTATCTTTTTTTTTTTTTTTTAAAGAATCAGAGTCAGATTCCACCAAATGCACTGAAGGTTACTGACCATCTTCCCCCCACCCCCAAATCTTTAAAAGAACATTCAAATATATTCCGGAATTGGCAAATGTTACTATGCATCCAGATACCGACCCTGTGCTGAACAGGGAGTCAACTGGATGATTTCCAAGGTCCCTCTGAAATTATACAATTCTAAAATTCTAAAATTCTAAAATTGACACTGGATTCACTCATGTAATGCCCAGTTTTAGCTTTGAAGGTCCCCCAGCACAAGTGTCTGGCTGTGATGTCATAGAGACTTTTATATAAAAGGTGAGGTGGTACTTTTCTGCTTCTGTTTTGTAGTACCTTTTCATCAACATATTGCTATCTTTTAGACACCAGTTCCTGTAGCAAAAGAATATTAAAATTCTAGTAAGCCTGAACCATGTCATGCATTTGATAAGCTCCGTTTGGAGGAAGGACCTAAGGGCAAATTGTCAGCATCAGCTCTTCAGTTGCCTGTGTAATTCTTTTTCCTAGATGAGGTCCTGATTTCAAGGAGTACTATGGCTTGACTGTAGTACCCTGGCTCTGCATTTTTTATGTGAAAACTGAAACCCCATAATATGAAACAGAATAAATAAATAAATAAATAAACAAAGAAGCAAGCCTCTAAATAATTCCTCTAAAACCAAGTTAATGTTATTTATATGCAAACATTTATTTCATTGTGCAACAACCTTGATGTTAAACTGGCTCAGCATCTTACCTGGCTTCAAGTGAGCAAATGGAATTTCTCCTGTTAACAGTTCCCAGAGACACAAGGCATAGCTGAAAACATCAGCTTTTATGGTGTACCGCGTACACTGTGTGAATACTTCAGGGGCCATCCAGCGCAGATTCTATATATCAAGACAACATCAATAATGCAATAACTGTATGTTTTGTTTCTTCACAAGGGAGCCCATCTCTTCTCTATTTTATTTCTGCTTGTTTTCTGGCAATATGCTAACAAAATAATTCTATGAATGAAAGGAAAGGATAGTGATTGGGTTGTTTCCATATTAAAACTAATTCGTGCAGCAAATGCATTATAGATTGCATTATGAGATTCATTGCCTGCAAAAAACCAGAACACTTTTCATTGTACACGTTTCTACTCTGAAATACAGTTTTACTTAAGACTGTCTGCAATCAGTTCTGCAACATGTCCTTTTACAGAGGAGCAACATGTGTTCTTTGAGAAATATAGCACACTAATAACACTGAATCTACAAATGATTGAATACTATGTCTCTTCACATATGTGCAGATTACTGTATGTTCACTGTCAGTTTCAGGCTTAGGCACAGTGGCCTCTGATAGGCTTCTCTGTCCCCTTTTAAGCCTTGGAAATGGTGACAGTGCTCTTGAGCAGCTCAGTACTCCAAATGAGCCCCTGGCTTGATTCTTTGCAAGTGAGGATGAAGTCAGCAACCCCAGTTATAATGACTACAGGTAGTCCTTGCTTAATGACCATTTGTTCAGTGACTGTTCGAAGTTACAACAGTGCTGAACAAATGATAGTTATGACCGGTTCTCGAAGTTACAGTCATTGCAGCGCCCCTGTGATCACGTGATCAAAATTCAGGCACTTGGCAGCCTGCCTGCATTTATGGCTGCAGCATGCGCTTCAACTCCCGCCACCTGCCTATCTCACCCTCATCTCTTCCCTTTTGGATTCCCTGCACTCCGCCACTTACCCCAGTCATCCCCTGCCTCCCCCAGCTGACCTTTGCTGTCTCCTTTCTTCTGCTGCTGCTGAGGTGTGCCCAGCCAAGGCAGCTGCTGGTCCTTTACAAAGCCTTTGCGAGGCCTCTGCAAGGCCAGGAAAAGGGCCAGGAGCTGCCTTGTCTGGGCGTGCCTGGTCAGCAGCAGGAGGAAGAAGACGGCGAAGGTCAGCTGGGAGAGGTGGGGGATGGCAGGGGTAGGGGGTGGTGGCAGAGTGCAGGATGGCCAGAAGGGTAAAGATGGTGGGGAGATAGGTGAATGGGGGCAGTTGAGCATGGCAGTGTAGGAGAAGCGTGAGATCCTCACCTAATAATGGCACGGTCCTGACCTAACAACTGCAACTGGGACTACCAGAATTGCTGTCACTAAGCAATGTAGTCACATGATGTTTCACTGACAACCACTTCACTTAGTGATGGAAATTTCAGTCCCAGCTAGGGTAATTAGGCGAGAACTACTTGTAATGGCAAAAATCCTAGTTCCTCAGATTTGCAAGAAGCCTGACCAAGGTATTTATATAGCAACAAGAAATGAGGAAATTTTCAGAGGGTTCTGGTTCATATCTTCACTAATCTGTGGGGTTTCTACCACTGCAACTAAGCTCTCCCCTCCCAGGCAACTGTTTCCCACTCTATTTTGCAAAGATAATTTGAGAAAAGGGACTTTCTCAGAAAGGCACGAATGTTGCAAGGTATCTGTGAGAATTCTCAGTGCAAAACCCAACTTTTTTCTCTTTAGAGTTCTTTATGAAAGCTTGGAAAGGGTAAAACAATTATGATGTAAACAGGAGTGGGTGGGAAGCTTGTCCATCAAGAGTTACAGTATGATTCTGAACAACAATTGCTAATATAAGCTAATATTAGGGTAATTACTGATGCAGACTAGAAGCCAATTTCTGCAAGCAAAGCAGAAAGAACATTTTTTACCCAATAATCTTTGTTGATTTCAAGCAGTCTACCGAAAATTAATGTAGAAAAGAAACAATGGAACACACTATACTGTAGCCTGGACTTTGGAAGAAGAAAATCCACTTATATTAGGTTTGGGGTGAGTGTGTGTGTGTGTGTGTGTGTAATATTATATATTATATATGAATATGATAATAATGTTAAAGAGAAACAAAAGACAAACCCCAGGTTGTTTTGTCATATTATCTTCATCCAGAGATTGCAGGAATCTTGATTCTGAGATTAAAAATTAAAACAAAGACAAAGGGAGGAGAGTATTTAAATCAGTATCACTTAATGCAGATAAGCTAGTGGGGGAAAAAAGTAAGTAGCTATATGAAAACAAAACAGAAATGCAGTAATACCATAGCTGGGTTTCAGTGTGGTATGTTTCATAGAATATAACATTAATTCATATAATTTCGTAAAAACACACATTTTTATTTGAATACTTCAGCAATCAAGGCCTCAAAATGCCACCAAAAAGAGGTGCTTCAATCCAAGCTCCTTAACAGTGTCAGCTGTAATAACTCCTAATGCAGAAAACCCTGTACAAGCTCTTCTTATTTCTGGCATTTTAAAGGCATTTATTTGTTTGTTTGTTTGTTTATTTTTCAAATTTAGTCACCACCATCTCACTCAAATTATTTTAATCACAGTGTCCTCTTATATGAAGACCTACAGATAAGAGTTGCTAGATGGAAATGTTGTATCTTTACAATCATGAACAAAACAAGGGATAAAGAACCAGAGGCATTAATTCTTTGTTCCTTTATAATGGCCTTTGCCATTCTTTCACTCAGTCTAATTAGCATTTTTACACACACACACACTTCTCCCTATATGTGATAGACTTAGAAGATCTGTGGGCAGCAGAAGATGTATTAATGGAAGAATCCCCCTGGCTGATTCAACTCCCGATATTTCTATGATTTTAAAGATTCAGCTTGAACCTTCAAATAGCAACCTATTCACCATATGAAATACATAACCCTGCATTTCTTTTTAAAAAAATGTTTGAAAATCTCCAGCTGTGAAGTTATAGTCGTATGCTTCCTTGTTGAAATGGAAGAAAGACTTTCTCCTCTATAAGATCAACCAAAAAAAAAAAATCAGCCTATCACTGTTGCAGCAGTCTCGGGGAAAATGCCTTCTGTCAAGTGGACTGATAGAGGAGGAATGGCATGATCCATTCCTTCTTTACCAGCTCATTCATTGTTCTGGAATTCTGGCTTCTCTAAAGCAATCTTCACTAATCTGAGTACTTTTTCAATGTGTGGATTTTAACTCCCAGAATAGTTGATAATAACTACCTGTCTTTTTGGACCTGCAATACTAAGAATATGTGTGGAATGGTAAAATATAACTGAAAACTCTAGGCTTGCCAAGAAACTGCTATCTGTGTAGTTTTCACTCATGTGCATGTAATCTTGAAAAACAACATGGAGTCATTAATACCTTAAAAATTAAGGATAAAAATCATTATCAAATTTTCTACTGAGAGAATTTTTTTTTTCAATAGAGCTTAAAGCAGGGCAATTCTGCTTCCTTACTGCAACCCTCTTCCATACATCCACATTACTGCTGGAGGGTGGGGAGTTTTTTCCAGATTTGGGGCAAAAATAGGTTTGGTGAGATGGGGGAATGACAATTTTTACAGCATCATCTTATACAATCGCACAACCATTACTGAGAATTGTGGGGGCTGAAGTCCACGTATTTAGGGAATGCCAAAGCTAAACAAAACCATCTTGAGGCTACTAGTGGGGCTGTCAAATACAAAAACCTATAAACAGGTTTTTATCCATATTTCTAGAAATGGCAAGACACCTTAATATTGTATTTGCATGTTGAAAATGGAACCAGTGGCAGATCCAAATTAGAACAGGCATCTGGATTATATAAGGGCACACTGCTGCCTTTGGCTGGTATTCCATGGGATCTACAAGCCTTCCCAACTTGGTTACCATCTCCTCCCCAGCTGATTGGTGCTGGAAATAGCCAAGGAGTACAGTGATCTAGAACAGTGTTTCTCAACCTTGACCACTTTAAGATGTATGGATTTCTGGGAGTTGAAGTTCTCACATCTTGAGAAACACTGATCTAGACTTTCTTCATCCGTTATGGCAAGCACCAATTAGCTAAATTGTGGGAGGTTACAAAGGCATTTTAAACTTCCCCTGCCTGTATACTGAGATGTATGTATGGGGGTGGGGTGTGAATGAAGATAATAACAGAGGAGAAAGCTCTCTAGCTATGAGACTGGGAGACAAGACTGTGTGCCTCAGATTTGCTTGTATTTCTGTGTTGTGATAGGTAAGAAGCCCCTCCCCTCAACCTACCATTACGTGTGGCTTTTTGAGACAATAAGACTGTCCGCTTTCAATCTAGACTATTTTTCAAGTTTATCATAAGTGAAAAATATGCAGAAATACAGTGTATCTTGAGAATGTTTTGCTACAGTTAATTTTAATTAAGTCTTCCTAAAAAAGGTAGTTTGAATAATAGGGCTGGCAAAATGGAGGCTGTGGGTTTCATGGACCTATCAGAACCCAATTTATGATTCCCAGAATCCCCCAAGAAATCTGCTGAACCACAAAATGCAGCATAGAAGACAGATTTCTTGTTTCATGAATGAAGTGTGGTTCTGAGGTCCATAGTGTGGTGTCTCAGAAAAGCTCTCTTAGTACTTGCCACCGTCACCTTTATTTTAAAAAAAAAATAGATTCCTATATGTCCTTTCTGCCTAAAAAACATAATCTAGGAATAGCAAGAAGTATCCTGAGATAGTTGTAAAAAACTTCCTCCCCACACTGACATTTGGCAAATGGGTTTTTAATGACTCGCCAAAGCCAATTATTTAAAAGCAACCTGGGATATGCTGTCAAAATTCCAAAGTGTCCACCAGTCCAAAGTCATTATGGCATCTTGTTCTGCTCTAGAGTATGGGAAACTGTACTATGATTTTTTTTTAAATCCCCAATATTTTACCTCCAAAATCAGCAACAACAGCATGGCCATCTTCATATAGGAGAATATTGTGACTGTAGAGAGAAAGAGAGAGAGAAATATATATATCATCATAAATATGATTAGACGTATAGAAAAATACTAATAATTTGTGCAAGAAACTATATCATGCTCTCATATACTATACCTAAGCAGTGTCTTATTTTTTACCAAGTAGCCTTTAGGGTTTTGCAGGTAGTTATTATTAGAAAAAACACACACATACCTGCGTGTGTGTGTGTACATACATACACACCTGCACACACATATAAAACATTGTGTGTGTGTGTATGCACGCACACACATATACCTGAAAGCTTGACAGTTTAGTAAGTCCAAATGTCAGAGTCATTCTTTAATTAGTAAGTAGAACAAGTATATTGCCTAATTAGTGGAAGATCATCTGTAACAGTCTTATTAATTATGTGACAGCATTACCTAGGAGCAATGAAGATGGTGACATTTGGGACTGAACCCAGTGATAACATTTCAATAAAATCAGAAGACCTGATTATCCTCTCAGTTAAGCTCCACTCAGCTAAAGTGGGCCACTCCTAATTTACAATGGCATAAATGAGTGTAAGAAAAGACTGCAGAACCCAGCTGTGAGCAGACTACTGTCAACACCTATAAAAGCTTCCTAAGGAGAAGGCTATTTAGAGCTGATTTCAAAAGGCTAATTTCTCTTTGAAAACTTGATTTAATTTCACAGACTCTCATCACACATTCCTAGGATTTTTCTTCCTCTTTGTATAAAAAAACTATGAAGGATTTACATGGATCTTACCTCTTCATGACAAGGTAATCTTTAAAATCATTGCAGCAACCGCCCTGGGGAGAATAGCCTTCAGAAAGACTCTGGTTTGTAATGATGGAACCTTCTCCAATACATGCAGAATTTTTTTTAGCTCTGGAATGGCTTGATTGCATTGGCAGATGCTAGCAAGAGAGCTTAATGAGTATTGCGCACCTGCCTTCTAGATTTCTTTCACTGCCCTATGTCCTCCACTATGAGAGAACATCAAAACCTCTATTGTGTGGATGAAAAGGAAACATTCGTGTCAAAACTCAAATCTGCAATAGATCAGTGTGTCAGTGGCAGGGGGGGGACAAGATTCATGGCATGGTATTTCAAACATTTGCAAGTGAGGGAAAAGAGTCAGTCTTTCGCTAGTAGGAGATTATCTGCAGCTCCACCAACACCTGCTTGCACTTGCTTTACTCAGCAGCATAAGATCTCCATAAGATGGATCAGCTGGGAGATTCCAAGCTTACCCACAGTTAACACGTTGATGGAAAAGAGTTGTTTCAATGAGATGGGCAGTGACAAATTTGATATACAAATAAATAAAATCAAGGGATTCCCCAGTCCTTCAATTCTATTTGCATTTATTTCTCTTGCTATTTTTTATGCTTGTATATTCAGGTACAATTACTTAGCTGAACTGTAGAATAAATCCTGTCAACTGAATCAATGTATGTAACATATAGCTGGGCTATCCCAAGCCTTTCACTCCTTTCCTTTCCTTAATGCAATATATTTGTCCAATTATGATATAATCCACAGCTAATTAAACTATGAAATGGCTCTTGATGTGCCTAAAAGGCATAAGAGCAAGAAGCAATCACAGATGCCATTTAGTAAGCCTTAATAAGGTGGGGACTCAGTTCCATATCGCATTTCTCAGGAGTGTCTATCTATCCATACTTACTGAGGTGTACAAAGTTCAGCAGTTAAATAAATTTAAAATATATGTTTCATATTGAGTTTTATCTTCAATATACCCCAAAGCAAATCCTTCCACTGCATTGTGAATCTTGTTCTTCTGCCTGTTTTACCTACCCCTTCTTGCCGAAACCTAAAATGGTATCTCTGCAACCATCTGATTGATGGTTCACATATTTATCCCTCTGCTGACGAATTTTGCCTTCCTCATTACTTTTTACTCCTAGATATGCTCACTGCATACGTATCTCCCTTTTTCTTTTTTAAACGTGTGGCTGTTTTTGAATGCTGTCCCTCAAAAGCTCCTGACTTTAGATCTTGCCTTGTCCTTGATCACACATTCTGTTTACTCTCCTTCCTGTTAATTGGCCAGCTTGACAGGGCACAGATACTTAATATTAGCTGAGATTCAAGCTTCTAGTTGGATAGGACTTCGGTAGCCAAGGAAACTGTATTCCGACCAGGTGCATATGCTAGTTGCAGTATTGTAGAGACAGGAGGCCCCAAACAGTTACTTGTAAAACGACTCCCCACCCTATTTTACAATTGCTGAGAAGATACTGAAATGAAGCAAATAAAGAGAAGATGCCAATGATTGCAGACCTTGCTAACATGGGTGCTTTTAAAGATAAGTCGAACCATCACCGTCCAATTTAGGAGAGGAACAGCTTATCCCTGCTTCTTTCTGATTCAATTTAGCCCATTTTTGTAATGCTTCAACAGGGTTTCTTTTCAGTCCCTGTACAGTTACTTTCCCCCTCATTTCCAGTATTTGTAGCCTCCTTTCTTCTCAGTAGACCTTCCCTTCTTTTTAATCCATGTCTTTTTAAAAAGTACTTCTAGAAAGAAAGGAACGTGAGGATATGTATGTGAGTACTTGTGTATGAAAGTGGTTTCTGTGACAGAATGGTTGGTATATGGTTGGTATATGCAGACGGGAGATGTGGCTTTTGGCTGAGGTGTATGTACACATACACACAAGTATCTTTCTCTCACACACACATAAGGGGGGGGGGTGAATATTCACCTTTCATCTGGTGTTGGCAGTCCTAAATTGACAAGGTTGGAAAGCCGGGCAGCACACAGGAGTTTTGTCTGTGCTTACAATATTTTGGGGGGTGGGCAACTATCTTAAATTCAGTTTTCTTCCTTTTGGATAAACATTTCTCTGTTGCCCACTGGGCATTTGTTTACTTTAAGCCTTTTTACACAGATTATTTTTTTTAAATGTAAAGATTTGTCATTTTTTTTTAGATTTTTTTATCCCACCTTTTTATTATTTTTATAAATAACTCAAGGTGGCGAACGTACCCAATACTCCTTCCTCCTCCTATTTTCCTTACAATAACAATCCCATGAGGTTAGTTGGGCTGAGGGAAAGTGACTGGCCCAAAGTCACCCAGGTGTCGTTCATGACTGTGGCAAGACTAGAACTCACAGTCTCCTGCTTTCTAACCTGGTGTCTTAAGCACTAGACCAAACTGGCTCTCTAATCATTGTCATTGATTCCAGGCAACTACTACTTCCTCTTATATAGTTCATTTTTTCAAAAGAATTGTTCGCAAAAGGCATATAGTGCCTCCCCGCCATACTGAGAAAATTAGGTATCCAGTGAAGTGGGATCACTTTATGATGCACTACTGAAAGTGATTAACCTGTATGAGTGAAGAGGCATAGCCCCTGGCACATTAGGAAATTCTCCAAGGATTTTGTGAAAATCAGATTTTATTTTTAATCTCATCACATCATTAAAACATTCGTTTATGAACACATCTGCCCACTGTGAGCTCACTCAAAAACAACTGAGATCCAGGGAAAATGCAGAAGATATTTCAGGAATTTGGCAATAGCCTCAAGCATCAGGAAATTTGTCATCCCCTTAAAACTCAGTCTTGGCAGTCAACACATGGAGGAAACAATGTGTGAATGCTCCTTCATCCAATCATGTGGAAGTTATGCAAGGCAAAGAGGGTACAATTTTGGTAAAAAATAACTGCAAACGGTTCTGTCCTCCAGATGTATTCTACTGCAGTATCCATCATTGACAGCGCTGTCTGGAAATTAAGGGAGCAGTAGATGCACAATTCTGGAAGGGGCCAATGCTGTATTTGAGAGTATTAGAGAGTATGCCAGGCAACCTTTCATGACTTGGAGGTGAACGTAACAATTGGTGTGTGGGTGTTGGTGTGTCAAATACTACACTGGGTTTGGCAATAGCATAATGGCATCATACAAATGATAGGATTTCAAGGGTCATATCTGGGGAAGGGTTTGATGGCTTTCTTTGGGTGGAGTGGGGGGGGGATGGTTTCCAGTGGAATGGACACCACTGAACTCTAGCTATCCCTGCTGGAGACTGACAATGTTGAACAGGTTTTGATGATGTTCATAAAAGCTATTATCAGTGATGTCTGCAGGGCGGGTGAAAATAGACAAGAGGGTGGTCTCAGTATTGTGAAAACCCCACTCATTCATATGTGTATGAGGTATCAGTGCACTAGAAAGGGGTGGGGCTTCAATCATGGTGCCATGACTGTCACCATGCCACCTCCCCCCCCCACCAGAAGATGCTGCTGGCAATTATTAGCAATTAATCCTATCCTAAATAGCATCTCTATATTTTTGAATCTATGGATCCTATAATAAAGAATTATATGAAAATAAATTGCTTTTGTCCACTTTGATTTGCCACATTTCCCCCCCAATATCTCTAGGTAATCATAAGATAGAAAGAGAAAGTGGAAAGACAGGACCCACTTTTTTTTCTATATTCTTTACACTGCTCATAATTTCATAAAGTTCTCATTCCATCCATTAATATCCTATTCTTTTTCATTTCAAAAAGTGCTTCTATCTCTAATACAATTGGCTTTTTCTGTGTCTTTTCCAATGTCTCTATATTCAGCAAGGCTTTATTAGAGATCAGCCTATCCCTTTTTTGACAGCAAAGCAGTAGGACTTCATTGCTCTTACATATGTTGCTTTTATTTTTTAAAAAGTATGTACATTAACCTGGGTGCCTTGTCCTTGTATTTGTTTATCATCTTCCCCACCATCAAAATTTCACTTGAAGGCTCCAAACATCGTAAATAGCACGAATGGAAACAAATGCATTAACCATACAGAGTGAGTAAAAACAAAATTGATTTCAATTAAATCTTCGAAACCATAGCAACAAGAAGCTCCAATAAGGTAAAGAATAGCAGAACCCTAACTTTTTGTACATCTGTCAGTGGAGGTGTATTTAAAGCTTACTGCTAAATCTAGTGGATTTGTCCTGTAACCACTGGGACTGAAGAGGTGAATT